TAGCTCAGCAAGAGTCACCTGATTTACTAGAGGAAACCTGACATGGATTCATAGCGAATGAACGGGTTGAATATTTTAAACCGTGGCGCTTGGCTCTATAATAAACATGGTCCTTGAGGCTCTATAATAAACATGGTCCTTGACCAATGAATAACTTCCAACCGGCTGGTTGCAATCGTGACATTCATTCGTCATCAATTAGGGTGGCGCTTGGTGGCGTGAGACTGTTCTAAATCAGGCAAATTTGTTTATGATTCAGAAGATGAAGTAGCTGATAATGTTGAGCCTACCTCCGTATACATACTGATTCAGTACAATGCACTTTAGTGTTGCACCGACACGTCGACCGATAGCGGAAATATAAAAATAGTGTGGCTACCTAAGTGGGGAATCACTCTCGTTAGGGGGCGACGTCATCACGTGGGACAATACGTCGTTTTTATGTCTCCTCTTATCCTATGGATACAAAAATGATATATGGATATAGGAATTGAATGAAATGGCCACGTATTTGTGTGAGCCACGCATTCGTCTCTCACTATGCATCACGACTTCGAATTTAGGATCAGATTTGGCGCTACGATTCTGTACTGCCACTTAAAAGGTGGGGAATTCGTCTTTGTGGACAACTATTTAGCACACAATGTGACCAACAGCCTGCTAGTGAATGTTCTGGTTCACCTGTGGTAGCTCCGAGTGGAGGAGAGCCGCGCTGCTCCCCTGATCTTTCCTCTACTCCTACCTGTGCGGAGTTAATGAAATGCATTGAAAGGATGGTGTACTTAAAGGCTCTAACTGCTACTACTTGGTAGGTGGAATCCCTTCTGTGTACCAAGTAGTCATCCCGAAGCCAGGTGGTCACGCTTCAAAGGCGAGTCACGAATACGCTGAGGAAGAAAGGTGCACAATTACCAGTAACGACCCCACTCAGAAAAGAAGTCTTGTTTACCGCGGGAGGGATAGATTTGGCGCGGCTCCATCCATTTATTATCTTTTTTCATTTCGGCAAGCGACAAGATTGTACCATATAGTTCGTACCAGTCGTTTTCCACAAATTGTTGTCGCTTTCCTCTATCAACAACTGGTGCAGGATGGGCAGGAGCACGCCAAATCACGCCAAAAAAGAACAAGACTGTATTTCTTGATCTCTTTTCTGTTCTCTCACCTCTGATCTCTCTATATTAACAATATGTCTTTGCTTGAGATTCTTGGGGAAGGAGGCTTATTGAAGACGTTTTCGACGGTTCCATATGCTTTTTCTCCACTGCTAACCATGAATAGCTTAGCACCGAAAAATTCATATTTGAGCCCACTACTCACAACTTGTGATTGGGAGCAGCTTCTGAT